GGCCCTGGAAAAGGAAGCCCTCCTCCCACTCTGCGCAGCCCCTGGAAACCCCTGTCCTCCCTTCCAAGACCATTTCCTTCCTTAGCGGGTTCTTGGAGCCACACTTGTAGCCGTCCCCAGGCCCTTGTAAAGGGGGGTTTGCGGGCCTGGGAGGGCTGCGGCTGGGAGAGCGGGACGGGGTGCTGATTACTTTCCAAGTCACTACACCTGTCCTGCTTCCCTACAAAACACCCTCTCGAGGTTACAGCTCCTTCAGGCTCTGCTTTCTTGCACAGACACGTTTAGGGGTTTCAGATGTGGCCCCTCCCCCTGGTTTAGTGGGCCCCAGCGTACTGAGGGTCTCCCAGGGGTCTGGCAGGGTTGGCTGGGGGCTCCAGAACCAGAGCCAGAGGACTGGAGGGTGGTGAAGGGGGGACAGAGTGGGGGGCATTGCAGACGGAGCAGAACTTGCCTCGTCAACTCCAGGGGCGAGGCCAGGCTGCCCATCCAGGGCCCTGCCCGGTGGCACCCTCACCTGGGGAGGCAAGGCGGAGGATGCCTTACCTGACCACCCGATGCCCTTTGGTTGATCCTGCTTGAGGGGCGGCATCAGCCCAGCAGCTACACTGAGTGGACCAAAATGTGGGTGCCAGGGCTGGTGGCCCCACCCCTCTGCCCAGTGGGCCTGCTGCCTGTACTAAGTGACCATCACCGTTTTAACCCTCCGCTTATGTACTTAATATTTGTCCAGTTCGGAAACACCGAGAAGGAAACAAACACGACTCGGAATCCCACCTTCAGAAGTTCCCCACGGTTGCTATGCTGGTTGCTGATGTGTCTCTTCTTAAATGTTCAAATACTAAAAAATTTTTTTCACAATCTCGCCTATTTTTTCTGCATAGACAGCATAAGCACACATACTTACACCAACCTCTAGCCACTATTTAATCGCACATGGCGTGCTGGGCCACGGAATGGGTGCCTTGCTTTGGGCCACTTGCAAATGTTTTCTCGTTCCGTGAGACTTGTTCTTGGCCCAATACCAAGCACATGCCCCTCCCCGTCCTGTTATCTCTTTGCTCTTGATCTCTGGTTTGAGAGCATCTGCCTAAGCCCCATCCTGTATGGCCCAGCGTGTAGTCAATTTCATAAAAGTTCCATATAATTGTTTTTCACAATTTATCACTTTATTAGGCCCAGCAAGCAACATTTTTTCCCCCCGAGGTTATATGTATATATAATCATAGTTGACATACAGTGTTATTCAACATCAGTTTCAGAAATACAATGCGGTGGTCAGGCCTCTACATCAACTATGAAGTGGACTCCCCAAAAGGGCATTGGTCCATCTGGCTCCCTAAGAAATGCTTACAACGTTATTGATTGTATTCCTTGGACTATCTTTTTCTATCCCTGAGGCCATATTACAATTACCAATTTGTATTGTCTCATCCCTTCCCCTCTCCTTCATCCCCAC